TATCGCCTTTTTCAGAAACCAGGCTTATATAATTACATTGGTGATGTGCTTCCAACAGCTTTAATAATTGTTGATGACTTTGTGCCAGAAAATGTTGTGATAGGTCTTGAATGTTTACATCAGATTATTCAACATTCTCATATGGTAAAAATTTATATTGTACATAATTTAAATTATCATATTATTTAGTGCTAAGCTCCATTAACTTGAAATTTATATGTTTAGAAAAAAGGATTGATTGAGACTGGATATGCTAAAGTAATTTTTCAAGTTTTAGAGGGTTTAACTCTTCAAAGAGAAGCTAAATATGTTATTTTGGTATATTTATGTATAACAAGTTTACTAGCTACTATGGAACATTGGGACAGTGCATCAAACATGTTCGAAGTAAGCTTAAAACATTTGTAACTTATATAGATGTAAGTGAAAATATCATACTGTAATATAATATTACAGTGGACAAAGAGGGATGATGTTCTACTTACACTATTAGTCAACATGGAATTTGAGCAAAATGTGGAATTGAGACGGGCATACATGTTGAGTTTGCCTCAACTTTTAACTAATATTGGCTGTGCCAAATGGTGTGAAAGGTTAACAAGAATACTTTGCGAATATTGTGAACATCATACAGATGTTAGAACATTGAAGGCAACATTGGAGGTAAATATTTCTATATATAATTTTGTTATTTTTTATTACATTTCATATAAATTGAACATACTTTTTTAGACTGCTAAAACCTTCCTCTTGATGTTTCATCTTCGAGTGGCAGCTCATTGTGTTCCTCTATACAGTGCATTTTTAAAACTACATTTTGATTTAGCTAAAACTCCAGTATTTGACAAAAAAATAATGCAAAACCTAGAGGACTGTATTTGCTTATTATATAAATTATCCCCAAAAATAGGTTGTGCAGTTATAAATGATGATAGAATGCAGTCAGTGATTAAACATAGTCTGCAAGTAGTGTGTCTAGGTGATACAAAATATTTTCAGTGAATGAACTATATAAGCCTCTTCTAGAATCTAATATAACAAACAATGGGCTACATTATTTAAGAAAAAAAAAAAAAATTATTTTTTG